ATGTGAGATTTAGAAAAGGGTGATATTTTAGGGCTTTCAGAAATCTTTTTCAAAAACCTCCAAAAGCATTGAATTTTTGGCAAACTAAGATGGATTCTGAAAGATGACATTTTGGGATACTGAACCGTATGGTTACTTCAGTTTCGAAGAAAACATGTGAGCATTCAACTAATCATCACAATGATAATACTGAACGGGGTTCCAAAAAAGTTAAAGGTAGTCCTCTGAGATGGCACAATGCAGCGCAAGCTGAAGCTTTATTCAACAATATTGTGCAGCGCTACCGTGCACAATCAGCATTCCGTAGATTGGAATTCACAGCAGATAGCCTTCTCTGTCCGCGATGTTACCTCGAAATGGAAACTGGATATGACAGTAAGAACCTCATAAAGCAAAAGCGACGAAGTCGAGTCGATGAAAATGCATCTGGCTCCGAAGATGAACGTTTGGCAACTAAACCTGAGAAAAAAAGATTATCCTTATTTAGTTGTACATAGGCAACTTATGCGAGAGGCTTATTCGGGATAAAAGGAATACGACAGTATCATCACTTCGATTCAAGGCAGATAGGTGAAATTGAAGCCAGCTATACACTGTAAGGTTGGAAATTATTTATGGAAAATGCTCGGCGAATTTCAAAGAGTACTTATGGCAATTCCCCAAGGAATTTCCAGTTTATAGAAAATCGAATTTCCAACAAGCCAGAAAATCCTCGTGGAATTTTCATAAATCATTTCCAAGAATCTGGAAATTCCTCTTTGAATTTTCAATTTGTTAGAAAATCGCCGTTGAATTTCCATAAATAATTTTCAAGAAAGTAGAAGTTTCTTTTTGATTTTCTATAAACTGGAAATTCCTTGGCGGGTCTGCACCGAGTGGCGGCGCGACCAGGTTGTATGGGAGTTGATCCCGCTCATGCTTTTGAGCAATTTCTGGTGAACGTCTCCGATTTTCGGACCGTCCTACCAAAACTTCGCGCCACCATTGTCTCTGCCTAAATCAAAATTCTTGCTGGCATAGGCAGAATTGTGATCTAAGGTAGAAACTGTCAAAGTTGATTTAAGTGTAATATGAGTGTCTTTCCGTGACGCTCTTATACCTACACTGATTGCAAAATAAAAAGATGAATAAGTATTTGGTCTTTCCTGGGCGAATTTCCACTTTCTAGAAAATCGCCGACGATTTTTCGTCTATTGATCTACAGTTTTTCATCCAGCTGGTCCATCTCTATCCTTCTCCTCTCCAAAACGCAATCAATCAACAGTTTTTTCTAACGAGATTATAGATCCGGTGATCACTGGATCGAAAAATTTTAAAAGCTTGTGCGATCAAAACCGATAGCAGATTCGTCTTCTCCATGATCGATTATCTGGTACACGATAACTTTTGGATCGGAATACTTTAGAAAAAAAATGTCTCATAGTCTTGCACAAGAATTTTTAAAAAAGTTACTGTATGGAGGAACCAAAGGTAAAAGTTTTTAAAGCTTTTTTTAAAATTTTTCTATCCGGTGATATGACAAAACTTCGTATAAATTACGCTCGCAGGTCAAGTGATAGATGAATGCGATAGAAAGATTTTGTTTTTGTTTTGGCTGCACAGATAATATCCTCCTGCTAATACGATATATAAATATCTGTGAAGCGGTAACAGCTCGGACTAACTATCTATTGACATCTATAAGAGATAACGCACGACATCTATCACAGTATTTTTCGAAGTTCTCTATGTTAAGAAAGATTTTATCATACAGATTGAAGAAAATTAAAGTAATGTTTGTGTCTTTTTTAGTATAGATCATTTTTGAGAAATATGCACAATAGAGGCCATTGTTTACTTGTTCAAGATGGTCATTTTGTGTTGTTAGATGATCTTGGTCTACTCTTTGTAACAACAGACGCTGTATGAGAAGCATATTAAGTTCGTTCATTTTAGCGTAATAACTGTCACAGTCTAATTGATCGGAAATTTGATCTAGATCTTATTCTCGTTGAGCGTTGTTTGCTTACTGCTTATATGCTCGTTCATTAAAAGTATTTTATATAGATTTTTCACTAAACTTTTTCTGTTTTATACATTTAAGATTAAGCCGTACTTCCTCATTCTAGCGAATGCACTTCCAGTAAAAAACTTTGGCGCCTATGTGCCTCTTGTTAGCTATGTATACATCACACATTTATGCCTCAGCCCTCGGTCGTACGGACTTAAATATCGTTTTCTTCGGATTTGCTTGAAACTTTCATTGGTGACCACATCTGTTTATAATAATTCGTTTTTCATCAAAAGTCGTCGTTGTTAATTAAACATTAACAAAACAGTGGAATCTCTGTTGCTAGCGTAACTAAAACTTCATTGTACCAAAGATGCACAAAGCACGGCACGTAATTCACGTTAGGGTCAGTGAAAGAGAAAGTCGTAATTATCGAATTCAATAGAAATGTTGCAGAGTAGTCTTAATGGATTTCTAATGAAAATTTCGATTTGGCTGCCGAGGAGACGTTCAGTTGTTACAGACAAAGAAAATACGAGCACACCGTTTCTAACACAGTAGTTCGCTGAAACTATTCTTTGAATTGTTGTCCATTAAATTTTTTTTAAGATAGTCAGTTGCCTACGAATGTTATTGAACTAAATTTCATTTGCTCTCGAGTTCAGATTATTCTGAGTTTTTGTTTACAACTATTTTATTTTCATTTAACGAGAATAAGAATTTTTTTATCATACTTTTTAGTTGCGTTTTATTTCTTATTCTGAATGTTACCACTGCTCCACTTGTTGTTACTATTGAAAGATTCTTGCCTCTTGTCATATCAGACAACAATCTTTGTTGTGATGGATCAACGAAGATTTTATTGATTTTTCACCTTTTTTTTTCGTGAAAGACCCCTGTTTGAATGGCGATTATAGTTAATGATACAATCATCAGGTTTTTTTGTCGATTCCTGTATACGACCGATATTATACGGAGGTGTTCACGAAGATTTTTCTAAATCCTAAAAGAGACAATTGAGTCTTTGTATGTTTTGATATTGGAATCAGAAGAACTAGATGTTCTTAAATGTATATGGAAAGAAAACTAAATAGATCATAAAAGCATTTTTGGTGTGCAAGGTGTGTGATTAAATATCGAGAGACAAGGATCTTGCAAAAGATAACACAATAAAGCCAACCAGTGACGTAATACAAAACGATGACACGGAGAGTGTCAGCCGTGTACGGAGAGTAAGAAATTATAAATTTTTTTTCTATTTTACGGTTTCGAAGACTTCGATATTTTTTTTATGGTAAAAAATAGTCATCAGAGTCATGTAGATATTCCATTTTTTATTTTTTGTATGTGCAAGGAATTTAAGAAAAATATTTGAGTTGCGTGTTGGTATAAAAAGCAATGGTTATTGTATTTGTTCTTGCTTTTTTCACTCGTTTTTACTACATATCATTAGTCAAAATATATCCTGGTTCTGTATTATGTTTTGCACAATGAAATATGTTATCACTGTTACACGTTTTTACCCCTGTACTTTTTGAGATGAAAAGATAGGAGACCTGATATTAGTACAACTATTGAATTTTATCATTTTTCTCTCTTTTTTAACTCTAAAGCAATAATGAAAGAAACACGTATTACTGCACTACTAGATAAACGTTATGTTTGAAGATATCAGAAAAAAAATATATATGTATATTTAAGAGAATTACATATGTAAATCACTTGTTCAAGCTAATGGTTATCAAGTGGGCGGAAAGAAATTAAGTACTCTTTCTCGAAAACTGTTTGGATTTTAGACTGCGTCGTTCTCTTAAAAATATTACAATATTTTTTTTCTGATATTTTCAAACAAAATATCCTCATATTAGTTCATGTATTTAGATTTTACAAATTCTCAGTTTTCTTTTGACACCTTTAGAATGTGCGTCAAAAATAAATCACGTTGTTAAATTTTTACCGACGAATGGATGAGAAATCACGGTCGAATATGGATCTTGTTCCATAATTCAGTTTTCATCAAAAGTCCATGCATACTATATGAATGTATACGTTAATATTTGTGGAAATTAAAAATAGCTAAAGAGCGAAAGATCTTCTTAAGATGGATCTTTCGCGACAGTTTTTCTAATATTTGCCGTGTTGTCACTTTGTTCAAAGTGATGGTCAACGCTAGCACATGAGCCGGTTTTGTGATAGAAAATCACCAATGTGACAAAACCTTTAAATTAAAAATTTTCACAAAATTGGTGATTCTTATATACTGTGTAACGCAACAAACCAAAACGGTAAATATCTCTCGTGGACGGAATTTTATCGAGACATCTGTAAAATTTATCATTATTCGACTAAGATATCGTAATTTCACTTAATTTCATATAGCATTAATAGCCAAAAAGACGAGATTAAATTCTAACGCATATTTCATTTCCAGGGGCACGAATAGTCTTTTCTTTAAATTTACTGCTACCACTAAACACTTCGTTTTGTGTGTGACTCTAGACTTCTTCCTACAAGGTTGATACTTGTTTAAAATAATGCTTTTCGACGCTATATAATTTGAAAAACTCGTTTACTGGTTAATACAAAATGTTCTATATCAAAAATGACTACTTGACTCAATATATCAAACCTGAAATCAACGACATACCATGATACCGGTATTTGTTGAAGTTTTTCTTTCATTTCAATAATCCTACATTTTTTATTCATTCCAAACTTCTCACGTTGCAGACTGATAACCTTTCATTTTATTACGTTCTTCTTCATTTATCTATTATAATTGAAAATATTATTGTAGGTTCGATTTAGTGCTGCGTCAATTAGAAGTTTATTTTGTACTAATACGATCAAACTAGTCTGTCATATTCTAATTTCTATGAATTAGAGATACGAAGTTATTCCCTCACTATTTGTCAAGACGGATTTGCTGCATAAATGTTTCTTCTTGTCTTCTTATCCACTTTTTCTGTCGTTCACGTCATGTGTCAAACAATTTGTCGTGAGAAAATTCTCAAAAGAGAAAAACCTATTATAACTTTTAAAAAAAGTTTTTCTTTTACTGATAACTTCTTTCTAAATATTATTCATTTAATTATTAACTGAGAAGAAAAGAAAAGTTTATACTTCTCTTCTAGTAAAGAGCATCGATCAATGTAATCGATAGTACGTTTTTCTTTTGTTACGAAGAATTTATATTAAACAGATTTGATCCTTTTGTTAATTATATTGTTTTCTGGTTTGTTAATGTATGTATATTCGAGTGCTCGTGCGATTCATTTATATTTGAATATAATAACGGACAGGGGTCTTTTTGCGGTTAAAATAAAACAAATCCCTACGGAATATCATTTTATTTTATTTTTTTTCATTCAGAAGTGTAATATATCTATATCTACATGATTAAGATCATATCATCAAATGTTTATTCGATATAGAAAAAAAAATTGATTCAACGTTGCTAGTGCTCAGTGTATAGTATTGATGGTTATAGAAGAAAGAAGATACATA